CCGCCAATCGATGCTCCTAGTGCTCGCTGAGGACTCCAAGCACTCCAACCGACACCATCAGCACTGCAGACCCCACTTCCAGCGATGCAACTGCGCGGGGGTCTCTGCTGTCTCCACCCACCCTGGACCCAAGGCCAGTGGGTGAACCTCTCTTTTCCCAGAGAGCAGGAACAGGAACAAGCTCTTAGCAGAACTTAGTGATCATACCCTGGGGAGTATAGTGATTATAGCAATCCCCAGAGTGTATTTCTCCAATCCCCCAAACATGAGCCAAGGCTTAATGCTGGAACAAGACTGATTTACTGGCACACAGAACAATTTATGCAACACAAAACTCCTCCTCTGGGCCAGGCTAGATAATTGAGTTTTTACAATACACAAAGCTCAATTATCTGCTGGCCAGAAATAATTCAGTTTTTACAGCATTCATAACTTCTAAAATATACATCACATTCACATAAAAATTATATATTCACAATCAGTCCAACATATCAAAAAATGGCATGAATCAGACCAGGGGTTCAGAAGTTCGTAAAGTACCTTTTGGGGCCTGGCTGGCAGCATGGCTATCTGGCCCAAACCGGTTTTACAGAGCCCTCTATCCTGGAGACAATGGGGAACATAATCCAATTATATCCAGGGATAGAAGCAGACTCCAGTAAAACACAAAAGGATACAAAAATACATAACTCCTAACATACTTAATTGAACGGGCCAAATCTCCCAGGGTCCATAGTCACAGGGCAAGAGGCGGACAAGCAGTCCTCTCCAGGCACAAGTGGCGAAGGGCACTTTGTCACACCTTACCTCCCGGCTTGCTGGGCATGTTCGACAAAAGTTCTGCACGAACGGTATGCATCGCCGCCATTTTGGGACTTCCACGTGTTCGCGGCCATTTTAGCTCCCAAACAGCGGTGTTTGCCGTTGAGTGTCTGGAACTGAAAACGGACACTCAAATAGGCGAACACCGCTGAATCCTCCATACCTTCGGTAAAACCCCATTGAAACTACCGAATGACCAGGTATTCGGTAGAAAGACTCACTGACAGATGGGGAGTCAAGCGAACCATGGATGGTAGCTGGATGGCCGGCCGTTCGGGAGGTTTTTCATGCGACCTAAGACCGACTGCAGGGCCAGAATTCGTGTAACTGTTTTCGGCTATTTTGCCCGTGCAGTCGGTCAAAACTTCTAAGTCCCATATCTCCCGAACGGCTGAACCGAATGGACTGATTTTTTCATATGTTGGTCCCCCAGAGTACAGCAAGTCCTTGGGGTACATCCAGACTTTGGGGAAATTATGTTCCATTTTAATTATGTTAAATGGTTATCTGAGGGGAGGAAATGTACAGTATGTGTATTGTTATGATTGGTTGTGAACAGTCAGAGCTGTGGGTTTATTGTGCTTATGTACACATTGTTACACATTAGTACCACCCACAGGGTTTTGGAACACAACCAATAAACACATACAATACACTCAGACACTCCCACACAAATTCCTCCCCTCTGCGTGTAATTCAATTACCTTACACAATGGGTAATGTAATTTAGCACAAGCAGAGAAATACAATTTTTCCACATTATTCATAACTTGAAAAGTATGTATCACATTCACATAAAACTTACATTTTCAGAATCAGTATATTCCAAATACAAACATACGTCAAAATCATACAAATTGGTCCAGTGGTTCAAAAGATAGATCGTAGTCCTTTGTGACCACAGAAAGCATGGCTTTTCTGCCCAAAACCAGTTCCACAGAGTCTTCTATCCTGGAGATAATTAGAAGTAATCCAATTATCTCCAAAGACAGAGGCAAAACTCCATTGAACACATGGCAACAAAAAGACAGTAAAATAGAATAAAATACACAAGGTTACATTTATGACATAAAATACAGACATGCAACATATGCCCAGATAGCTTAGGTCTGAGCGCACATTATTACTGAATGGCGCTCAGAGCACATACATACAGTTCAATTGCCATGGAGCCAAGTCTTTCCCATAGTCTTTCATTATACAAATGGGCTCCATGGCATAGCTATCTGGGGTATCACTGCTCAAACAGGGCAAGCACCAAATGACCCGGCTTTCTTGTCTTTGCAGGGGAAAATCAAGCCTTTTAACATGGGGCCATAATCCAAAGGCAGGAGGCTGGCAAATAGGCTTCTCCAATGCAATGTGGCGAGATTGGTCTCGTCACATCGCTGCATTTAAAAACTTTAATGACAATGAAATGGAGATTGATAGTTATCTGCAGGACTTTGAAAGGCAATGTGCTCTGGAGGGATTAGACTCCACCAAATGGGCTGCAGTACTGAGCAGCAAGCTGTTAGGCAGAGCATCAGAAGCGGCACGAGCAGTACCTGATGAGGATATTCACAATTATGGGAAAATAAAAGACATTTTGTTGGCTAGATATGCAGTTACCCCTGAGGCATACAGGAAGAAATTCAGGGAACTGAGGAAAACAGGAAGGGATACCTATACTGAATGGGCATTCCGGCTACACAGGGCAGCCCGAAATTGGATGAAGGGCTGCCAAGCAACCACTCTGGAGGATGCCTTACAACTCATCCTATTAGAACAATTTTTTAACCATATAGCAGATGACATTGAGGACTGGGTGAAAGACAGGAAGCCTAAATCTGTGGAGGAGGCAGCGAGACTGGCAGATGAATACCAGGACAACCAGAGGCGAGAACAAGGGGTGAGCCGACCTGCATTTAAACAGCCTTATTCAGCCCCAACAACGGCTGCACCACCTAGAGCCCCCCTGATTAATCCGCCGCACAGCCCAGCAGCAGCACCACGGCAACTTACAGTGTGTCACTACTGCAAACAGCCGGGACACTACAAAAACCAGTGCCCACGTTTAAACCGGGGAAGCTGGGAAAGGCCGCCACCACAGCCCCAACCCAGGGCCGCTGCTCATTGTGTACAGCAGGAGAGTACATCATGGTTCCCTACTAATGAGGAACAATGGAGTGTGTTGCACGAAGTCAACCCCGTGCAAGCAGGAGGCGACAACCGGGACCACCACCGTCAGTGGATTTCAGTAGACGGGGTGGGGGCCCGCGCTTTAAGAGACTCTGGGGCCACATTAACTGTGGTTCAACCCCACACTGTCAAGGCCCAAACTCACACGGGCCGCACTGTGGCAGTAAGGGTAGCTGGGGGTGCCATTCACAAACTACCTACGGCTAAAGTCCTTGTGGATTGGGGCTCGGGATCTAAACAATTGGAGGTTGGCATTATGCAGGAGCTACCAGCCGAAGTACTGTTGGGGAATGATGTGGGCTGTTTAACTTCCCAACTAGCCCGAGACACTGCGTCCGAAGCCTACCCGGTTACCACCCGAGCTCAAGCCAGACTGGAAGCAACGCCGCACTCTGAGGAAACCCAGGTAGGAGTTGAAATACCCCCTTTACCCGACCCCCCTTCCCCGTTCTGGGATACTCCCCAGGGGTTCGAGCAGGAACAAAGGACTGACCCCACTCTAGACGGGTATAGAAAAGCGATAGGGAATAATAGGGGCGACAACCCACACGAACGGTTCGAGTGGCACAAGGGACTGTTGTATAGGGTGACAGATGGGACAGGACACGGGACCGCCCAGGTTACTAAGAGGCAGCTAGTAGTACCCCGCAAGTTTCGGGCAGAGTTATTAAGACTCAGCCACGATATTCCCTTAGCAGGACATTTAGGGGTTAAGAAAACTAGAGACCAGCTGACCCAAACCTTCTTCTGGCCCAGGGTCACTCAAGACCTCAAATACTACTGCAGGACCTGTGACGTTTGCCAGAAAATAGGGAAACGGGGTGACCACCAGAAAGCGAAGCTCCACCCGTTACCCCTCAGTCGACCCAGTCAGTCTGGTAAAAAGTTTATACGCACCATAGTGGACTATGCCACTCGGTACCCCGAAGCCGTGGCCCTCCCCAATATAGAGGCCAAAACCATAGTCGAGGCCCTGGTCAAAATATTTTCCCGGGTAGGTTTTCCCCAGGAGATCCTATCCGACAGAGGGACTCAATTCACAGCTCTCCTGACGCAACAGCTGTGGCAGAGCTGTGGAGTGAAAGCCCTATTTAGCTCTCCATATCACCCTCAGACCAACGGTCTCTGTGAACGTTTTAATGGCACGCTCAAGCAAATGCTAAAAACGTTCGCAGAGTCCTCCAGGAACTGGGAGAAGTATCTTCCCCATCTTCTGTTTGCCTATCGTGAGGTGCCCCAGGCATCCACGGGGTTCTCCCCCTTCGAACTCCTGTTGGGGAGAAAAGTTCGGGGCCCCCTGGATCTCGTACGGGAGCACTGGGAGGGCAACACAGATGATGGGGGGATCCCTTTTGTACAGTACGTACTGGAGTTCCGCGACCGGCTGCGGACTCTCACCGAATCAGTTTGGGAGAATCTGCAGGCGGCTCAGGACTGTCAAAAGAAGTGCTACGACAGGGGTGCCCGAGACAGAGTCTTAGACTTAGGCCAAAAAGTGCTAGCCTTGAGACCCGCCAAGAAGGATAAGCTCCAGTCAGCATGGCAGGGACCCTTTAAGGTGGTGGAGCGAATAAGCGATACCACCTACATTGTAAGTAAATGTTCGGATGAAAGACTAACCAAAGTCTTTCATGTAAACATGTTAAAGCCCCCTCTTCAGAAGATAGTGAGGGGCTCCCTCTCCCCGATCTGTTAGACCCCTCACCCTGTAGTATTGACCAGGTCAGCCTTGGTCAGAACCTACAACCCCTAGAGTGAGGGGAAGCGTCCGGCCTACTCTGGGAATACCAGGTCATGTTTTCTGCCATCCCAGGCTATTCCTCCGCTGCGGTACTCCGGGTAGAAACCCAGGGAGAGACGCCACTACGGCAGCAACCATACCGTATTCCCGAGGCCGTGCGTAAGAGCATGCTGGCAGAAATTACCAACATGCTCAAGTTAGGGGTATTAGAACCCTCTCAGAGCCCTTGGGCATCTCCGGTAGTACTAGTACCGAAGCGTGATGGCACCACACGCTTCTGTGTAGACTACCGGAGGCTCAACGACCGCACCATAACGGATGCATACCCCATGCCCAGAATAGATGAGTTGCTGGACCGTATGGCTGGGGGTAATTACTTGACCACCCTGGATTTGTGCAAAGGATACTGGCAGATCCCCTTGGAGGCTACAGCCATCCCCAAGTCGGCATTCGTCACTCCTTTCGGGCTCTACCAGTTCAAGGTTATGCCCTTTGGAATGAAGAATGGCCCGGCTACCTTTCAGCGGATGGCTGACAGACTCCTGGAGGGACTCCAGGACTTCGCATGTGCGTATTTAGACGATATTGCTGTCTACAGCCGCACATGGGGAGACCACCTAGGACACGTGTCCAGGGTGCTCGAGAGAATTCACCAAGCAGGGCTTACGTTAAAACTGGACAAATGTCACGTTGGTATGGCTGAGGTACAGTACCTCGGCCACAGGGTAGGGTCAGGTAAACAGCGGCCTGAGCCTGCCAAAATAGAAGGCATAGCTAATTGGCCCCAACCCCGGACTAAGACCCAGGTCTTAGCCTTCTAAGGAACGGCCGGCTATTACCGGAAATTCGTCCCCGACTATAGCGCCCTGGCCAAACCCCTCACTGACCTCACCAAAAAGGCCCTTTCCAAACACAGATGCCTCCATGTTTGGGCTGGGAGCCGTGTTAAGCCAGGTGGGAGACGACGGCATCGAACACCCGGTGGCCTATCTCAGCTGTAAACTTTTGCCCCGGGAGGTCAGCTATGCCACCGTGGAGAAGGAGTGCCTAGCCCTGGTGTGGGCGCTTAAGAAACTCCAACCTTATTTGTACAGCCGGCCATTTACTCTGATGACCGACCACAACCCGTTGGTGTGGTTAAACCGGGTGGCTGGCGACAACACCAGACTCTTACGGTGGAGCCTAGCCCTTCAACCGTACAACTTCACCATGCAGTACCGTCCAGGCAAACAAAATGGTAATGCAGGCGGTTTGTCCCGCCAAATGGAAATGGATGTTTAACTTAGACCTTTCTTTTTTTTGCTCTCGGACATCCCCAAGCCAACCCGTCAGGGTCTTGGCGGGTATGCCCACCTATGGACTTATAGGGGAGCAGTGTGAAGAAATTCTTCTATTTGGTGTTTAAATGACAATTTGTATTCCCTTATTTCATGTTTGCTTTCCTTATGGCATTCGGTAGGTAAAACTACCGAATCGAGACCACTCTGTTGCCCATTATGAATACCTTACCTCCCTGCTTGCTGGGCATGTTCGACAAAAGTTCTGCACGAACGGTATGCATCGCCGCCATTTCGGGACTTCCACGTGTTCGCGGCCATTTTAGCTCCCGAACAGCGGTGTTTGCCGTCGAGTGTCTGGAACTGAAAATGGATACTCAAATAGGCGAACACCGCTGAATCCTCCATACCTTCGGTAAAACCCCATTGAAACTACCGATTGACCGGGCATTTGGTAGAAAGACTCACTGACAGATGGGGAGTCAAGCGAACCATGGATGGTAGCTGGATGGCCTGCCGTTCGGGAGGTTTTTCATGCGACCTAAGACCGACTGCAGGGCCAGAATTCGTGGAACTGTTTTCGGCTACTTTGCCCGTGCAATCGGTCAAAACTTCTAAGTCCCATATCTCCCAAACGGCTGAACCGAATGGACTGATTTTTTCATATGTTGGTCCACCAGAGTACAGCTAGACTTTGGGGAAATTATGTTCCGTTTTAATTATGTTAAATGGTTATCTGAGGGGAGGAGATGTACAGTATGTATATTGTTATGATTGGTTGTACAGTTAATTATATGGGAGGCTCCCTTGCATGGGCAGAATCCCATAAAAAGAGAATGCCTGTCAATAAATAACCAAGAAGGTTATGGTGTAAGGAGGTCCCCTGTCTCCCCGCACACAGTGTATTATAACTGCAGCTATAAGGTTATGGTGTAAGGAGGTCCCCTGTCTCCCCGCACACAGCGTATAATAACTGCAGCTATAATGTTATGGTGTAAGGAGGTCCCCTGTCTCCCCACACACAGTGTATTATAACTGCAGCTATAAGGTTATGGTGCCAGGAGGTCCCCTGTCTCCCCGCACACAGTGTATTATAACTGCAGCTATAAGGTTATGGTGTAAAGAGGTCCCCTGTCTCTAATGTGTGCCATTCTGCTCAGTTAGGAGACCTGGCCATTTAAGGTATTTAAGGCATGGCACCTTCTGCTATTCGGGACATAGGACGTTACGTAAACAGCCAAGCTCTAATTGGACCTGATGAGATTTGTTTTCAAATAAAAAATGTTTGTGTCAATTCAACCTTTTGAATTTTAATTCACAGCAATTCAGTGATTAGTAAATAAACCCATATTGAATTTCATCTGAATTTTGCCTATAAATTGAAAAGAATCAACAATCCCCCTCCAGCCAGACAGGGGTATCTGGGCTAATGACAGACTGCCCCAGACAGGGGTCTCTGGGTAATGACAGACTGACCCAGACAGGGGTATCTGGGCTAATGACAGACTGCCCCAGACAGGGGTATGTGGGCTAATGACAGACTGCCCCAGACAGGGGTATCTGGGTAATGACTGACTGACCCAGACAGGGGTATCTGGGTAATGACAGACTGCCCCAGACAGGGGTATTTGGGCTAATGACAGACTGCCCCAGACAGGGGTATCTGGGTAATGACAGACTGCCCCAGACAGGGGTATCTGGGCTAATGACAGACTGCCCCAGACAGGGGTATCTGGGTAATGACAGACTGCCCCAGACAGGGGTATCTGGGCTAATGACAGACTGACCCAGACAGGGTATCAGACAGACAGCCCCAGACAGGGGTATCTGGGCTAATGACAGACTGCCCCAGACAGGGGTATCTGGGCTAATGACAGACTGCCCCAGACAGGGGTATCTGGGCTAATGACAGACTGCCCCAGACAGGGGTATCTGGGCTAATGACAGACTGCCACCAGACAGGGGTATCTGGGCTAATGACAGACTGCCCCAGACAGGGGTATCTGGGCTAATGACAGACTGACCCAGACAGGGGTATTTGGGCTAATGACAGACTGCCCCAGACAGGGGTATCTGGGTTAATGACAGACTGCCCCACACAGAGGTATCTAGGTTAACGACAGACTTCCCCAGACAGGAGTATGTTGGGTAATGACAGACTCCCCCAGACAGGGGTATATGGGCTATTGACAGACTGACCCAGACAGGGGTATTTGGGATAATGACAGACTGCCCCAGACAGGGGTATTTGGGATAATGACAGACTGCCCCAGACAGGGGTATCTGGGCTAATGACAGACTGCCCCAGACAGGGGTATCTGGCTAATGACAGACTGCCCCAGACTGCTAATGACAGACTGCCCCAGACAGGGGTATCTGGGCTAATGACAGACTGCCCCAGACAGGGGTATCTGGGCTAATGACAGACTCCACCAGACAGGGGTATCTGGGCTAATGACAGACTGCCCCAGACAGGGGTATCTGGGCTAATGACAGACTGACCCAGACAGGGGTATTTGGGCTAATGACAGACTGCCCCAGACAGGGGTATCTGGGTTAATGACAGACTGCCCCACACAGAGGTATCTAGGTTAACGACAGACTTCCCCAGACAGGAGTATGTTGGGTAATGACAGACTCCCCCAGACAGGGGTATATGGGCTATTGACAGACTGACCCAGACAGGGGTATTTGGGATAATGACAGACTGCCCCAGACAAGGGTATTTGGGATAATGACAGACTGCCCCAGACAGGGGTATCTGGGCTAATGACAGACTGATCCAGACAGGGGTATTTGGGCTAATGACAGACTGCCCCAGACAGGGGTATCTGGGATAATGACAGACTGACCCAGACAGGGGTATCTGGGATAATGACAGACTAACCCAGAGAGGGGTATCTGGGCTAATGACAGACTGCCCCAGACAGGGGTATCTGGGCTAATGACAGACTGCCCCAGACAGAGGTATCTGGGCTAATGACAGACTGCCCCAGACAGGGGTATCTGGGCTAATGACAGACTGCCCCAGACAGGGGTATCTGGGCTAATGACAGACTGCCCCAGACAGGGGTATCTGGGCTAATGACAGACTGCCCCAGACAGGGGTATCTGGGCTAATGACAGACTGCCCCAGACAGGGGTATCTGGGCTAATGATAGACTGCCCCAGACAGGGGTATCTGGGCTAATGACAGACTGCTCCAGACAGGGGTATCTGGGCTAATGACAGACTGCCCCAGACCGGGGTATCTGGGCTAATGACAGACTGCCCCAGACAGGGGTATCTGGGTAATGACAGACTGCCCCAGACAGGGGTATCTGGGCTAATGAAAGACAGCCCCAGACAGGGGTATCTGGGCTAATGACAGACTGCCCCAGACAGGGGTATCTGGGCTAATGACAGACTGACCCAGACAGGGGTTTTTGGGCTAATGACAGACTGCCCCAGACAGGGGTATCTGGGCTAATGACAGACTGACCCAGACAGGGGTATTTGGGATAATGACAGACTGACCCAGTCAGGGGTATCTGGGTAATGACAGGCTGCCCCAGACCGGGGTATCTGGGTAATAACAGACTGCCCCAGACAGGGGTATCTGGGCTAATGACAGACTGCCCCAGACAGGGGTACCTGGGCTAATGACAGACTGCCCCAGACAGGGGTATGTGGGCTAATGACAGACTTCCCCAGACAGGGGTATCTGTTCAATGACAGACTGCCCCAGACAGGGGTATCTGGGCTAATGACAGACTGACCCAGACAGGGGTATCTGGGCTAATGACAGACTGCCCCAGACAGGGGTATCTGGCTAATGACAGACTGCCCCAGACAGGGGTATCTGGGCTAATGACAGACTGCCCCAGACAGGGGTATCTGGGCTAATGATAGACTGCCCCAGACAGGGGTATCTGGGCTAATGACAGACTGCCCCAGACAGGGGTATCTGGGCTAATGACAGACTGCCCCAGACAGGGGTATCTGGGTAATGACAGACTGCCCCAGACAGGGGTATCTGGGCTAATGACAGACTGACCCAGACAGGGGTATCTGGGCTACTGACAGACAGCCCCAGTCAGAGGTATCTGGGTAATGACAGACTGCCCCAGACAGGGGTATCTGGGCTAATGACAGACTGCCCCAGACAGGGGTATCTGGGCTAATGACAGACTGCCCCAGACAGGGGTATCTGGGCTAATGACAGACTGCCCCAGACAGGGATAATGACTGCCCCAGACAGGGGTATCTGGGCTAATGACAGACTGCCCCAGACAGGGGTATCTGGTATCTGGGCTAATGACAGACTGCCTCAGACAGGGGTATCTGGGCTAATGACAGACTCCCCCACACATGGATTTTGTAGTAATGCCAGGTCTTTGCCTGCAAGATCTGGGCTATAATGCCCCAGACAGGGGTATCTGTAATGACAGACTTGGTTTTATCTGGGCTAATGACAGACAGACAGGGGTATCTGGGCTAATGACAGACTCCCCCACACATGGATTTTGTAGTAATGCCAGGTCTTTGCCCAAGAATAATTTGTTTTGGTTTTGTGCCATTTCTGAGCTATTGCCAGACTGGGGTAATATCAGTATTTTCCAGCCAGAAATGTTTGAGCTAATGCCAAGGTCTCTGGCCAGGGGTGTGTGATTTTATGCCCGACTCTCCCAGGAGTATTTGGGTTGATAATGCGATATATAACCATCATTTAAACCATGGTATATACTGATATTATTGTGGCTAATGACAGGGCGCCCTACCATTGGTAAGCTAGAGATATTGTCAGGTGATTTGGGCTAATATCCAATCTTCAAGGCAGTACATCCATTGATATTCTCCTTACTCACCTTGTCTCAATCTAATTAAGAAATCCCCATTCTCTGTATCTCGCCCCCCTGTCTCACTGCCTTCCTTCCCCCAGCCCTGCAGCTGTTCTATCTCCTTCTTGTGTGTCCAAGAAAGGAATCAGAAGATGCCTTGAGAAGTCCGAAGCTATTTTAGTTGGGACAATTTTGTCCCTGGTTCCTCCCATCTCCTTACAGCCAAAGTTGAGGATGCAGCTAAAGTTAGAAGCAGCGTCTTGTGCCAGAGGGGTATATAATCCCACCCAAGGGCTTCCTCCCTATGTCACTCTCTACTTCTGACCAGGACAGGCACCAAGCTCAACTGAGGACATGGTGAGTGCTAGGGAAACAAGCCAAGCAAGGATGGAAGGCCCATGGGTGCTGGAATGGAGGGACCCATGGCTGCTTGGATGGAGGGACCCATGGGTGCTGGGATGGAGGGACCCATGGGTGCTGGAATGGAGGGACCCATGGGTGCTGGGATGGAGGGACCCATGGGTGCTGGGATGGAGAGGCCCCTTGGTTCTGGAATGGAGGGCGTGGGCAGAGAATACCCCGGTGCCAGCCCAGGATGAGGCCAGACTTGTTTTTCTAAACCTTATTCTGAGGGTTATTCAATAAACTGAAAATGTAGAATAGAGATGGGAATTGCAGCAGGTGCTATTTTGACGTAAAATCTTTAATTCCATAGCCCATTCTCCGAGTGAATAATGCTCTTTGTGCTTCCAGTATCTGTAAAATAATGGGCCCCCAAGCAACCCCACATTCTGCATTATTGGAAGAATGAGCCAGGGGCCAAAATCGACTCAAAGAGGGGCTTTCTAAACATATAATAATGTATATCAGGAGTTTTTATTGTATAGAGACAATGGAGAAATGATGGTAAAGGGCGGTGAATGGATGATCTTTCAATAATTTGGGGTTTATTTACTAGACAGTGGATATTTGACCAACTGGCATTCACAATTTGGGCCCAAATTGCCAATTTCCCAATTTGAATTATTTTTTTTTTAGCTAAATGCATTAAATGCATTACTTCCTTACAGTTTAGTAAATAGCTGTCTTTGGATTCTTACCATTGGGGTACTGTTTGAGTACTATAGAGGTACGATTGGGGTACCATTGGGGTACCATTAGTTTAGATACTCTTGGGGTACTTTTGGGGAGATTGGGAATGCCTATATTGTACTGAGCCCAAATGAACATGTTTTCACTCAGTGATAATATCCAGGACATCTGTATATTATATATTTTTATAATGGTGATCCCAATATGGCTGAATTCAGCTCTTATCTATGTGTCTATGTCATCTATGTATCTGTTTTATTTCAATATTCCCATTAAAACATCCAACTGACGCCACCCACATCCTCCCAAGAACCCCATGAACCCCATATCCCCCCGATTTATCCTCTATTCCCTCTATATTACCCCCATCTACCCCCAGTTAGCTACCCCCACATTCACTTGATACACCCATACACTAACCATTTATTTAGGTCATACAGCCACCCATTTACACTCACACAACTTACCCAAACCTACATAGTATCTGTCCTATAACCTCCAATTACCCGAATCCCTGTCTATCACAGCCGTCTACACCTATATACACAATATAACTGTATATATGTATATAATTACCCCGATCACTCTGTATAATAACGATAATATAACTGTATATGTCTATATAATTACCCCGATCACTCTCTGTAATAACGATAATATAACTGTATATGTCTATATAATTACCCCGATCACTCTCTGTAATAACGATAATATAACTGTATATGTCTATATAATTACCACGATCACTCTCTGTAATAACGATAATATAACTGTATATATGTATATAATTACCCCGATCACTCTCTATAATAAGGATAATATAACTGTATATGTCTATATAATTACGCCGATCACTCTCTATAATAACGATATTATAACTGTATATATGAAACATAGAAACATAGAAACCTAGAATGTGACGGCAGATAAGAACCATTCGGCCCATCTAGTCTGCCCAATTTTCTAAATACTTTCATTAGTCCCTAGTCTTATTTTATAGTTAGGATAGCCTTATGCCTATCCCACGCATGCTTAAACTCCTTTACTGTGTTAACCTCTACCACTTCAGATGGAAGGCTATTCCATGCATCCACTACCCTCTCAGTAAAGTAATACTTCCTGATATTATTTTTAAACCTTTGTCCCTCTAATTTAAGACTATGTCCTCTTGTTGTGGTAGGTTTTCTTCTTTTAAATATAGTCTCCTCCTTTACTGTGTTGATTCCCTTTATGTATTTAAATGTTTCTATCATATCCCCTGTCTCGTCTTTCCTCCAAGCTATACATGTTAAGATCCTTTAACCTTTCCTGGTAAGTTTTATCCTGCAATCCATGAACCAGTTTAGTAGCCCTTCTCTGAACCCTCTCTAAGGTATCAATATCCTTCTGAAGATACGGTCTCCAGTACTGTGTACAATACTCCCAAGTGAGGTCTCACCAGTGTTCTGTACAATGGCATGAGCACTTCCCTCTTTCTACTGCTGATACCTCTCCCTATACAACCAAGCATTCTGCTAGCATTTCCTGCTGCTCTATTACATTGTCTGCCTACCTTTAAGTCATCAGAAATAATCACCCCTAAATCCCTTTCCTCAGATGTTGAGGTTAGGACTCTATCAAATATTCTGTACTCTGCCCTTGGGTTTTTTCGTCCAAGATGCATTATCTTGCACTTATCCACATTAAATGTCAGTTGCCACAATTCTGACCATTTTTCTAGTTTACCTAAATCGTTTGTCATTTGGCTTATCCCTCCTGGAACATCAACCCTGTTACATATCTTAGTATCATCAGCAAAAAGACATACCTTACCATCAAGACCTTCTGCAATATCACTAATAAAAATATTAAAGAGAATGGGTCCAAGTACAGATCCCTGAGGTGCCCCACTGGTGACAAGTCCAAGCTTCGAATATATTCCATTAACTACAACCCTCTGTTGCCTGTCACTCAGCCACTGCCTTACCCATTCAGCAATATTTGAATCCAAACTTAAAGATTGCAGTTTATTGATAAGCCTTCTATGTGCAACAGTGTCAAAAGCCTTACTGAAATCTAGGTAAGCAATGTCTACTGCACCACCCTGATCTATAATTTTAGTTACCCAATCAAAAAAATCAATAAGATTTGTTTGGCATGATCTCCCTGAAGTAAACCCATGTTGTCTCTGATCTTGAAATCCATGTGTTTTTAGATGTATATAACTACCCCGATCACTCTCTATGATAACGATATTATAACTGTATATATGTATATAATTACCCCGATCACTCTCTATAATAACGATAATATAACTGTATATATGTATATAATTACCCCGATCACTCTCTATAATAAGGATAATATAACTGTATATATGTATATAATTACCCCGATCACTCTCTATAATAACGATAATATAACTGTATATGTCTATATAATTACGCCGATCACTCTCTATAATAACGATATTATAACTGTATATATGTATATAATTACCCCGATCACTCTCTATGATAACGATATTATAACTGTATATATGTATATAATTACCCCGATCACTCTCTATAATAACGATAATATAACTGTATATGTCTATATAATTACGCCGATCACTCTCTATAATAACGATATTATAACTGTATATATGTATATAATTACCCCGATCACTCTCTATGATAACGATATTATAACTGTATATATGTATATAATTACCCCGATCACTCTCTATAATAACGATAATATAACTGTATATATGTATATAATTACCCCGATCACTCTCTATAATAAGGATAATATAACTGTATATATGTATATAATTACCCCGATCACTCTCTATAATAACGATAATATAACTGTATATGTCTATATAATTACGCCGATCACTCTCTATAATAACGATATTATAACTGTATATATGTATATAATTACCCCGATCACTCTCTATAATAACGATATTATAACTGTATATGTCTATATAATTACCCAGATCACTCTCTATAATAACGATAATATAACTGTATATGTCTATATAATTACCCCGATCACTCTCTATAATAACGATATTATAACTGTATATATGTATATAATTACCCTGATCACTCTCTATAATAACGATATTATAACTGTATATATCTATATAATTACCCCCATCACTCTCTATTATCATTCCTCAGGCACCAGCAAAGAGAGCAAAGAGAAAGGCAGCAGAAGGAGGGTCCTCCAATGTCCTCTCCATGTTTGACCAAACACAAATCCAAGAGTTCAAAGAGGTGAGTTCTCTGAGACTCACTGAGGGACTGGGGTATCACTCACACTCACTAATGAACTAGGGTATCACTCACACTCATTGAGAGACTGGGGTATCACTCACACTCATTGAGAGACTGGGGTATTACTCACACTCACTATTGAACTGGGGTATCACTCACTGATGGACTAGAGGTATCACTCAGTCACTGAGAGATTGAAGTAACACTCTCAATCAGTGTGGACCTGGGGTATCACTCACACTCACTGACAGACTGCAGTATCACTCACACTCAGTGTGAACCTGGGGTTTCACTCATACTGACAGACTGCAGTATCACTCACACTCAGTGTGGACCTGGGGTATCACTCATACTCACTGAGATACTGAAGTATCACTCACACTCAGTGTGGACCTGGGGTATCACTCATACTCACTGAGAGACTGCAGTATCACTCACACTCAGTGTGGACCTGGGGTATCACTCATACTCACTGAGAGACTGCAGTATCACTCACACTCCGTGTGGACCTGGAGTATCACTCACTGAGTGGGATTATGTGTGTGTAAGTATGTTTGTTCCTGTGGTGAGGGATGGTTCGGTCCTCCTCTCACACCATGATGCTATTCCTGAGGAATTTCACACTCAGCAGTAGATGAGTGAGGGGACAGGTGTGGAGTGGGGGCATGAGGCGGGGGTGGCTGAGCCATATTTAGAGCTAATAAAAGAGAAGGGAGTAACAGAGAACCTCAGGGATCCAAATGCTTAATGCGCCCTGGCTCTCCTTAGACATTTCTCAGGAATTAGAACTGGTCTCATTAATGCCCCCAGTAACTACCCCTCCCAGCAGGTTTCATAAACAACCCCATTGATAGACCCCAGTCTGGTGCTAGGCATCACCTACCTCAAATCCTCATAGACTGTACGCTTGTTTGAGCTAAATATCCCCTTTCTACAAAGTGCTAATAATTATCATTAATAATTCTGTTTCCAGGCATTCACAGTGATTGATCAGAACAGAGATGGCATCATTGATAAGGAAGACCTGAGAGACACATTCGCAGCAATGGGTGAGTAAACCACCCCCAAGAGAGACTACGGCCACCTCGGCACATGTTATCTGACGGCCACCTCGGCCCATGTTATCTGACTGCCACCTCGGCCCATGTTATCTGACTGCTCACTTTCCTCATTCCCCCATGTTATTTGACTGCTCACTTTCCTTGTTCCCCCATGTTATTTGACGGCTCACTTTCCTTGTTCCTCCATGTTATCTGATTGTTTACTCCCCTCGTTCCCCGCACTCCTTCATATTATCTGACTGTTCACGTTCCTCGTTCCGTCCGTTACCCATCATTTCTGACTGCTCACTCCCCTCGTTCCCCCCACTCCCTCATGTTATCTGACTGCTCGCTTCATTCCCCCAATGCTTTCTGACTGCTCGCCCTCCTGGTTTCCCCAGGTTTTCTGACTGCTTGCTCCCCTCGTGCCCCCATTTATCCAAGTTTTCTGACTGCTCGTTCCCTTCGTTCCCTCCATTGCCCCAAGTTTTCTGACTGCTCGTTTCCCTCGTACCACCTGTTTTCTGACTGCTCGCTCCCCTCTCTCCAGGCCGTCTTAATGTAAAGAATGAGGAGTTGGAAGAAATGGTTAAAGAGGCCTCTGGACCCATTAACTTCACCGTCTTCCTCACTATGTTCGGAGAGAAGCTCAAGGGTGAGAGACTTAGTCTTAATTTGGTGTGAATGGCTAAGAGACTCGAGCTGAGTTTGGTGTGATTGGGTGAGAGACTTGATCTGGGTTTGGTGTGAATGGGTGAGAGACTTGATCTGGGAATGAGAGTGAATTGTGAATAAATGGAAACAACAGTGGAAGATAATTGGAACGTACTCCTTTCCTGACCTAACAGGCCTTATAGTTCTATCCAGACTGAGCCCGCACGAGTACTGGTGGAGCACTTAATGATTAGACAATACAACGAGGCAGTGCAAAGAATGTTCAATATTTATTTATTAGACAAAGGTTTTCAGGAATTCTGCTAAGGGGCAGTCTAGAGGTGTCTGATTAATTACCAATCAAATAGTGACAATTATTGATTAACTGCATGGTAAAAACATACAACAAATCATTGATATAAAATGTATCTAGAGGGCATTACTAGGTGGGATCTTCTTAGAATCGGACAATATAGGGGTTTCTTAGCATCGGAGAGAACAAAGGTGGTTGTGTGCCAAGACTAAGTATGTGACGTAGAGGCATGGTCAAAACTGCGACTGTAACGTCCGTCCAATTCACACGGCTGTTAATCTTGTGATTCAGCCGAGCTGAAATGAATCCTATCAGTGAGTGTAAGTCAGGTGGTCTCATATGAACTCGTTCAGGGATGGAGTGTAAGTCAGTCCCATATTAATCCTTACAGTGATTGACTTGTTTGGAGTGTGAGTGGGGTTGATAACTCCAGACAGGGCTGGATTTACTGTTGTTTTCACATTAAGGTGCTGATCCCGAGGATGTCATCACTGGGGCATTTAAGGTGCTGGATCCTGAAGGAAAGGGGTCAATCAAGAAGCAATTGTAAGTATTCTATAACTTCACCTCTTCCACTTCTATAATCTCACTTATAATAATGCTATAATTCCATTTATTATAATGCTATAATCTCATTTATAATAATGCTATAATTCCATTTATTATAATGCTATAATCTCATGTTTTATAATTCTATAATATAATTTATTATATTTCTATAATCATATTTTTTTATAATTCTACAATATCATTTATTATAATGCTATAATTTCATTTATTATAATTCTATAATCTCATGTAGTATAACTTTATAATCTCATTTATTATAATTCTGTAATCATATTTATTATAACGCTATAATCCAATTTATCAGAATTCTATAATCTCATGTATTATAATTTTAAAAACTCAATTATTATAATTTAATAATCCCATTTGTTATAATTATATATTCTTATTTCTTATAACTTTATAATTGTGTTTATTATAACTTTATAATCTCATTTATTATAACTGTATTACCCTACACATTCACCAGGGGATACTATAGTCACCAAAACAACTTTATCTTAATGAAGCAGTATTGTTGTATAGATCATTCCTTTGCAGTTTCACTGCTCAATTCTCTGCCATTAATGATTTAAATCACTTTGTTTATGCAGCTCTAGCCACACCTCCCTGCATGTGACTTACACAGCCTTACTAAACACTTCCTGTAAAGAGTCATTTAATGTTACACTTCCTTTATTGCACACTCTGTTTAATTTACAATTATCTCCTGCTCTGTTAATAGCCTGCTAGACCCTGCAGGGGTGTCCAGTGTGTGATTAAAGTTCAGTTTACAGAGCAGGTGATTAAAAACTTCTAAAGTAAGTTACTCACTAATTGAAAGTGCAACCATTTTGTTTTCATGCAGGCTTTATCAGTCAGAGCCAGGGTAGGTGTGGCTAGGGCTGTATAAACAGAAAGCGATTTAACTCCTAAATGGCAGATAATGGAGCAGTGAGACTGGGGGGCATGATCTATACACCAAAACTGCTTCATTAAGCTAAAGTTGATATGGTGACTATAGTGTCCCTTTAATCTTACCTCTTTCCACTTATTGACCTCATTTATTGTTTCTTTCTCTCACTCTCCCTTCATCCTCTCCCTCCATGTCTCTTTCCTCCTCTCGCCTCTCTCCCTTTTGTCTCTCTTGTTGTATATAGCCTTGAAGAGCTTCTTACCACCCAGTGTGACAGATTCAGTGCAGAGGAGGTGAGCATACTCAGATCATACCAGGGAGGGGGGCAGTACGTGCCTGATTTGGGGTACCAGCTCTTTCTCACCCTTTGTGTCTGTTTCCTATAGATTAAGAACATGTGGACAGCTTTCCCTCCTGATGTCGCTGGCAATGTTGATTACAAGAACATCTGCTATGTGATCACCCACGGAGAGGACAAAGACCAGGAATAAATGGGGTGCTATCGTACCCCTGGGGGGCAGTGCACCCCCATCTTGCTGTATATTGCGTCTTATTTTGTAAATTCATCCCATCAAAGACACAACTGTAATTTATTTCTCCTGGGGGGACCTGAAAGGGAGAAGACTATTTGTTGACCCTGATCCTCTCTCTGTGTCATCCCTACACCCCAACACTTTGCTCTTGGCGTCTTAAACCGGAATAAGGATTCCGCACTGGAAGAAGTTCAATAAAATGATAAACTTTTTATTCTACTTGTGGTATGTTTCTCTTTGCACAAATATCAAACTGAGCAGCATGCCCCCCCCAAAATTCCGCAAACACACATCTTAATACCCTCCACCCACCAGAATTGGGAAAGGGTGTAATTCAATGATGACGATACAGCCACAGTGTTATTCTCATTGTTGGCATTCATACTGCACAAGGCTTGTGAGTTTATTGGTGGGTACATATCCAATGGGGGCAATCAAGCACTGGTTTCCATAGTAACTGCCCCACTGTTAGAATGATGATGGTTCATGCTCAGATAAGAAGTGTAGAAGAGAAGGAGCCTTAAATAAAGTCTGTAACGTGTGTTTCCCAGTCACTGTGCTGTGAAATCTGACATCTATTGCTCAGCAATGCAGAATGAGAATGTCAGAAATTCTGGGGAGCGCTCACATCCTACATGGGGGTGTCAGTCGTTCAGTTACTCAATAAACATTCAATGGCAGGAAGGGGATAAGCCCAGACATTACACAATGTGACGGGTAAAGCCAAGCTCCCAGCGTTTCAAACCGCCAAACGGGAACTTATACTAGGAGAGCTGGAGTCTAATTTAAACTCTCTGTCTCTCCCTCACTTTCTCTCTCTCTTGCACTTTCTCTGCCTACTACGCTCTCTCTCTGTCTCTCCCTCACTTTCTCTCTCTCTTGTACTTTCTCTGCCTACTATGCTCTCGCTCTTGCACTCTCTCTGCCTACTACGCTCTCTCTCTCTCTCCCTCACTTTCTCTCTCTCTTGCACTCTCTTGGTTTATTACGCTCTCTGTCTCTCCCTCACTTTCTCTCTCTTGCACTCTCTCTGTCTACTACGCTCTCTCTCTCTGTCTCTCCCTCACTTTATCTCTCTCTCGCACTCTCTCTGTCTACTACATTCTCTCTCTCTCTGTCTCTCCCTCACTTTCTCTCGCTCTTGCACTCTTTCTTTCTATTACGCTCTCTCTCCTGTTTTACCATTGTCTCTACTGCTCTCTGTGTCAAAATTAATCCTTGTTCTCAAACTCCCACAACCCCGGGGCGGCAGCAACGGTTACTGTATACATCAACCCCAATGCATACAATAAAACATTAAAATACAAAAAGTTACCTGCGCTCTCCTGAATCCCTATGTATATTGAAACAAATGGAGGTCATTTAAGTTGCTCCAATGGCCATTGGAGGGAATGCCCACCTGCCAACGTCAAGGCAGACCCCCCCCCCCTAAAGCGGGTCCTTCACCTTGCTTCCTTGAGCTTCTGGCAAAGATATCTCTAGTGAGACAGAGAGGGGTATTTGTTTATATACCCCCCTATATACTTATTAACCCTTAATAGGGAACACATGGGATGGGCGGCAGCATTGTAACATAGCTGTGTGATACTTCGCTTGTGCTGAGACTCCCACTACTCCTGGGCGGCAGCAACGATAATAGTACACATCAGCCCCAATACATACAATAAAATCCAAAGAATAGAGTTAGTTGGGCACTATCCCAAAATGAATGTCCCTCTTCTTTCCTCCCTACCGGTACTGAGATATTAGTCTCTACAGCTATCAATGTACTGATGCCTCTGTCCGTGCACTGCTGGATCAGTTAGCTCTATTTGATCAAACACAGCTTTGTTGTATGTTGTATGTTTGTATGACTGGTTGGACCACCATAAAATAGGTTTTTACTGTATTTGTTTAAAGTTAAATGTTTAAGTTGATATCTGTTAATGCGCAGGGTCTAAACTCGCCCATTAACACAGGTTTTCTATACAGGAAAGGGAAAAAACACAAATTGCATTTATCCAAGAAACTCATTGGAGAAGAAACAGCTCTGGAATTATAGGAAGTAGCCGCTGGTTTTTAAAACATCACTTAAAGATGAAAAGAAAAGGGGTGTTGCAATTATTGTCTCCAATACAATTAACTTTCAACGTATTGATCAGATAAGAGATATTGCAGGAAGAGTTCTAATCCAGGTCTGTCAAATTAACGGCCAATTCTGTACCTTAGTCAATATTTATTTACCTGTTAGAGGCCTTACTAAAATAATAAACCAAGCAGATCTTATTCGTAAAGGCCGTCTGATACTAGCAGGAGATTTTAATTGCATATCAGACCCCAAAATGGACAAGCGGATGATACCTGCACATCTAGCCACAGATAACAGATTAATTAAACAATCGGCTGCCCTAAATAGACTGTATAAACATAATGATTTGTACGACTGTTGGAGTTTATTTCATCCACTGGTAAAGACTACACACACACTTTCAAATTCTATGCTTCTTCGACTGACTTGATATCTGTATGGGGGATTTGAACTTGGTCGGGGCTCTGAAAGACATATTTATCAGAAGTAATAGTTGGTCAGACCATTATATTTTAATTATAGATTTAAATGTACAGAATTATAAAGTCTCTTCCTCCTTGGAAATTAAGCCAGAGACTTATATATTATATAAAAAGATAGAGCATACTGCAAAACTGCCAATATCCCAAATCCCTGTGCATATTTATATAAATAGAAGTTATTTAGTAACTCCAATGGCCATTAGGTGTAAACCTCTTAGGCGGGTCCTAAACTGACCTTTCATCTTGCTTCATTCAGCTTCAGGTAAAGATATCTCTAACAAGACAGAGAGGGGTATTTTATATAAACCCCGATATACTTATTAACCCTTACTAGGGAACACATGGGATGGGAAGCAGCATTGTAACATAGCTGTGTGATCCAAAAAGAGAAGTCCTGCGTTTAGACTCCCACTAATCCTGGGTGGCAACAATGGCTAGATTCCGTTAATCTATGATGTTTACTTTCGTATAACACAGCCATGTTACAGTGACAAATTTATCATGTGCTTTTAATGAGCCATGGCTTGCTGATTGCTACGATAACAGTGATTTCGTACATTTTGAGTACAATGTACTCTGCTCAGGTTTTTAAAATACTTTTTTGACAGAACCTGCATATAGCCGTGCTCAGTTTAACTTACACATTATCTTGGAAGCCATGGCAGACCCAAACCATGTGTCTGTGAATGTACGTGTTAGCATATTCCTCAATGATTGTGAGGTTTGTGAAACGAATGGGAGAAGGTCCATCAGGATTAGATTCAGGGTGACCCTGGCACCGAGTATGGCCTTAAAAGGTACTCGTCACTTCCAGCTGCCACTGTCAGTCATGGGAAAACACAGAAAACTGCCAAAAATAATTCTACAAAACAGATAAAAAAAACAGGGCTCTCAGGTCGTTCGTTAAACTGGGAAATAAATTCAGAAATTGTGAAATATTGGATTCAAACTCAAAATCTAAAATTTTATGTTTGATTATCCATTATTCTTGTTTAACAGAGGAAAAAAATGTAACATTCTTGAAATATAATAAAATCAGATAGGAAATAAATTGAAAGGTAAGTCCTTCCTAGCCATTTCCCTGCTTAAAATGAGGGGATTACCCAAACACTGGTACACAATGCATACCACACGCAGACTGTTTAAACAGTACAAAGAACAGACTTGTTCGGCTATGCAGAGTGGTGACTGTAGCGGAGTAGTAGGGGTTAATCCACGGTATCTCCGCTGGTAGTCAGGATAAGCAGGTAAAACACAGGTAGCGTAGTAAGAATCCCTTCCTCCCAAGAACTAGACGACACATAGCTTGGAGGTCAACTGAGGTTTTTAATCACAAGGCATAGTATTTATGTGGTTACAAATGTATGGGGTTTCCCGAGTCAAAATGCAGGGTTTGTCCAGTAGGGGACTACATGGGGGACTGAGTTTTACAGACCGAAAACCTATCATACATTGCTGTACCAAGGAGATAATTAACCCAGAATGCATTGCTAATGGGATTATCTCTTGGTACAGAGAAATACAGTTTTCATATTAAAATCCATAACCCACATAATATTTATGCTAGACAGCTATTTAACTATTTATTACATAGCTGGGACGTGGGCGCACAGTTAAGGGAACTTGCGCTCAGATCCCAGCACAAATAACCGAACCAATTCGTTTAACCGATCAGGACCAATTCGTTTAACCGATTGCCTGAACTGAGGGAATGAAAGTCCGGAAAGCGGCAAACTCCCGAACGGCTCGGAAGTCTAGCGGGGCTTGTGTTGCAGAGTAGCCGATTTTAGTTCCAGGCACTCGACGACAAAACCATGCTGGTTTTCCACGAACAAAGATGGCCGCCGCCTCGTGTTCGGTACACGAATGGCGGCCACCCGTAACAGACCGTAATTAACAGAGATACAATGTTGCAAAGTACTTAAAGGGAGACACACGACCGGCTATGGGTGGTCTCCCATTCGGTACTTTGCTTATTCTACGAACAGTGCGGTGATTCACTGTTCGTGGATAACCAGACTTAACATCAGCGGTATTCGTGTGCTGTAACATTGCACAATAAAATTAACAGTAGCAGGAATATACAGTTGGCTTGAATATACAGTGTAAGTCTAGAAGTGGCTAGGTTTGCCACAGTGACCAGGCCTGGACCTGCCATGTGAGAAAATAGGCAAAAGGTCGCTATCTGAAAAAACTACTAAAATGAAGGCCGAAAGCTACAGATTTTCTGTGCTATAGCGTTGCTGGACGTCCTCACGCTACGTGAGGACCTCCAGTGTCGCTAAAATCCCCATAGAAAAGCATTGAAATAATTTTCAATGCTTTCCTATGGGGAGGTCAAATGCGCGTACGCGGCATTGCCGCGCATGCGCATTAGGTCTCCCCCACCGGCGGGCGTGATCAGTCTCCCCGGCCGGCTGACGTGGTGACGGGGAGGAGCATGGGCGGACCAAGAAGCAGTGTGGGACATCGTCACTGCCACTGGTAAGTCACTGAACGGGTTTTCACCCCTTCAGCAACCTGGAATGGGGGGTGGGAGGGAGAGGGGACCTGCAGTGCTGGCACTGGAGAGACCCTTTAACTACACCCCATTAAAGAGAGTTTGCACGTTTTTTCCATCAGTATGGATAGTGTATGAGGGTTTTGAAACTCTCTTTAATGGGGTGTAGCTAAGAACTATTTCCGAGCCAGTATGTAGGGCTCAGCTTTTCCTTATCAGATTTTCTTTCCTGATTTTTCATTCAGTAGCTTTCAGCCTTCATTTTAGCCATTTTTTCAGATAGCGACGTTGAAGTCGATTTATTTTGAGTAAGTTTCTATGAAGGTTTAGCTGCTATTTCCCCACGATTCCTTTCAGGTGGGGGGTTGTTGATTTCAAATCATTTTTTTTAGACTTCAAAAGTTTCAAACTTGTCCTACTCAGCGACTTACATTCAGTTGGTTAACCCTCTGTGAGCATAATTTATCCTGGGGATTCCTCTTAGGTGAGGAGCTACTGATTTCAATATATTGTCGTCTAGTTTCATAGGTCCTACAGTGCAGGCCTCCTCAAACTCCGGCCCTCCAAATGTTGCTGAACTACAACTCCCATGATTCTCAGCCTATTTCATTCATAGAATCATGGGAGTTGTAGTTCAGCAACATCTGGAGGGCCAGAGTCTGGGGAAGCCTCCTATAGTGCTTAGCAATTATAATAGTTGGTTAACCCTTTGTGAACAATATGGCTTTCACTCACCATAACCACTTTATGCAAGAGTGACTTGGAGCTATTTAACTTTTGTTCCTCCTACCTTTAAATATAGAAATTTTAAGCAGAACTCTTTCTACCCCTCTTACATCGCGGAGCTTATCAGCTTCTGTTCTTTACTCTCTGTGCATTTATATGCTTCCTTTTCCCTTTTCTGTTGTGGTTTTGCTGTATATTTTTTAATTATTATCAAATTAACAGATTTTTTTATCATATTGAATAATACATAGTATCCATACATTGACTTCTTTGTGTCCTCTGGACTTTGTATCGATTGGACATTTTCTGTATCCCCTACAAACACACACACACACTATACCACTGTACACACACACACACACACACACACTATACCACTGTACACACACACACACACACTATACCACTGTACACACACACACACACACCATACCACTGTACACACACACACACACACACACACTATACCACTGTACACAATACTATATCACACACACACTATACCACTGTACACACATACACACACACACACTATACCACTGTACACACATACACGCATACTACATCACTGTACACCCAATTAACCAAACAAATACACATTGTACAATATTAAATGACCAGGTCTGACATAACCCCCGTCACCGGGGGTCTACCCACTCATGAAATCAATGGTTGGAAATAGGGACTGAGCTCACATAGGAGCAGTTTATTTAAACAAAGTATCACACCCCCGATAGATAGAGCAGATTTTAACAGTAAAAAATTCTGCTTTCATATCTGCATTAAGCATGCCACCTAGTGGTGAGAGTAGGCAGTGCCTAATGCAGCTCAGTCCGTCTCAACTCCTATCCACAAACTCTTTTACCCCTTTCGCATCAGATACATCAGGGTTAGTCACCAAAGTGTGAATTTTCTGAAATTACACATTTATGGGATACCCAGCCCCCTTTCAGTTATGTTGTCAGATCAGTTCATTTGAATTTTGGACAGATCATACTTTAGGTAATAATTCTCGTGTGCTGAACCTTGTTATGGCTAGTGCAACACATTAAACATAGAAACATAGACTGTGACGGCAGATAAGAACCATTCGGCCCATCTAGTCTGCCCAATTTTCTAAATACTTTCATTAGTCCCTAGATTTATCTTATAGTTAGGATAGCCTTATGCCTATCCCACGCATGCTTAAACTCCTTTACTGTGTTAACCTCTACCACTTTAGCTGGAAGGCTATTCCATGCATCCACTACCCTCTCAGTAAAGTAATACTTCCTGATATTATTTTTAAACCTTTGTCCCTCTAATTTAAGACTATGTCCTCTTGTTGTGGTAGTTTTTCTTCTTTTAAATATAGTCTCCTCCTTTACTGTGTTGATTCCCTTTATGCATTTAAATGTTTCTATCATATCCCCCCTGTCTCGTCTTTCCTCTCTTTTAACAGCTTTGGGTGTATTCCATCAGGTCCCATTGACTTATTTGTCTTTACTTTTGACTGTTGAAATAGAACCTCTTCCTCTGTAAAGTTGCGTGTAATAAATGACTCATTTATCCTTTTTCCTAACTGAGGCCCCTTTCCTTCATTTTCATCTGTAAATACTGAACAAAAAATATTAATTGAGGCAGTCAGTTAGACCTTTATCCTCTTCTACATACCTTCCTTCTTTTGTTTTTAATCTAACTAATCCTTGTTTTACTTTTCTTTTCTCATTTATGTATCTAAAAAATGTTTTATCCCCTTTTTTACTGACCGTGCTATTTTCTCTTCTGTGTGTGATTTGGAAGCTCTTATAACTTGCTAAGCCTCTTTCTGCCTAATCTTATAGATCATTCTGTCTTCCTCACTCTGGGCTTTTTTATAATTCCTAAATGCTAACTTTTTGTTTTTAACTATTTTGGCCACATCTGCGGAGTACCACAGTGGTTTCTTGAATTTTTTTGCTTTTACTGACAAGCCTAATGCAATTTTCTGTTGCCTTCAATAGTGCAACTTTTAAATAATCCCATTTCTCTTGGACTCCATTTAAATTGCTCCAGTCTGATAATGATTCCTTTACACATATTCTAATTTTAGAAAAGTGTGTTTTTATAAAGTCTAAACTTTTGTTTTTGTGTGGTGTGACTCAGTCATTGTATACAATCACTACTTCTGAAACGCTGTAGGCTTGTTCCATAGAGACAGAGACTATTCCTGCAGCTGGTAATAAGTAAAGGGGAGCAGACATTGCATGCATTTATTCCTGGGTTTACAGATATACAATATATAGCCTGGGAACAGACAGCTAGTCTATAGGGAAGTGCTCACTCAGGTACAGGCGCCATGGTGGTCACAGGCCGAGTCCGCAAGCCTTTGGCAAGTTTGAGAGAGAAGTCAACACTTGGGGGGCCCTGAGTGAGACATCCCATGGAGATCATGTCAATATGAGGTCCAAGGAATTGCAGAAGGTTGTGAGGGGAAACACCCCCTGAGGCTTCCACCACCACGTCTGGATGTCTTGTCTTTAACGCAAGAGCAGCTTCATGGAGTGACTGCAAGAGACAGAGAGACAATGTGAGAGAGACAATGTGAGCGAGACAGAGAGATAGCTTAAGCGGGAGAGACAGAGAGAGATGGTAACAGTATGAGAGATAGTGAGAGCGACAGAGAGAGATGTTGAGAGACAGGGCCGGATTAACATAGGGGCTGATGGAGCTGCAGCTCCAGGCTCATGCCAATGGCTCATTGTTTTTTTATTACTCTGCACATGCTCGTGCTTAAGTATGGAAACTAAAGAAGGATGTAGGAGAACAAAGCCAATGTGGACTGGCTGACAATGAAATTAGTTAATGTAAAGCTCTCTAACTCTGTGGCATGTTCCCTTTACACAAACCCAGAGCCTGCCTGCTAGTAAGAAGGTAAGGAGAGGAATGGACCCCCCTAGTGAGTGCCCTGGAAGCTCTTTAATATCCCACTACACACCACACATTACAGTGTGTACTGGGATATTACTGAGCCCCCAGAAAGCGTGGAGCGAGCGCATCATTAGACACATTTATGTCAAGCTCAGTGTGCTGTCTGCACAGTGTGCTCTTAGTTGGGCATCCCGCAAGACTGGCAGGCAGCCTGATGTGCATTCACGCCAGGCTGACCATCTAATTCTTCATGTAGACATGCCCCCTTTTTGGGCATGTTTGTCCATTTGGGCAGGTCTGGTTACATTATTCGGGTCAATGACCCACCGTTTACCCTGCCCACTGAAATCCAGCTTCACCAAACACTGCTGTTAGGGGGTATGTATTTACTTGAAAGAGGAAAGTGAAAGATTAGCATATGGTATGTGTTTTCTTATAGCTATATCCTGTGAGTTTCCCTCCAGCACCATCTCTGCCAGATACATGACGCTTGGGAGGTATAACCTTTGCCAGATACATGACGCTTCGGAGATATAACCTCCACCAGATACTTGGCGCTTCGGAGATATAACCTCCACCAGATACTTGGCGCTTGGGAGGTATAACCTCCGCCAGATACTTGGCGCTTGGGAGGTATAACCTCCCCAAGATACATGACGCTTGGGAGGTATAACCTCCGCCAGATACATGACGCTTGGGAGGTATAACCTCCACCAGATACTTGGCGCTTGGGAGGTATAACCTCCGCCAGATACATGACGCTTGGGAGGTATAACCTCCACCAGATACTTGGCGCTTGGGAGGTATAACCTCCGCCAGATACATGACGCTTGGGAGGTATAACCTCCGCCAGATACATGACGCTTGGGAGGTATAACCTCCGCCAGATACATGACGCTTGGGAGGTATAACCTCACCAGATACATGACACTTGGGAAGTATAACCTCGTCAGATACATGACAATTGGGAGGTATAACCTCCGCCAGATACATGACGCTTGGGAGATATAACCTCCACCAGATACATGACGCTTGGGAGGTATAACCTTCGCCAGATACATGACACTTGGGAGGTATAACCTCCGCCAGATACATGACGCTTGGGAGGTATAACCTCACCAGATACATGACACTTGGGAAGTATAACCTCCGCCAGATACATGACGCTTGGGAGGTATAACCTTCGCCAGATACATGACACTTGGGAGGTATAACCTTTGCCAGATACATGATGCTTGGGAGGTATAACCTCGCCAGATACATGACACTTGGGAGGTATAACCTCCACTAGATACATGGCACCTGGGAGGTATAACCTCACCAGATACATGACGCTTGGGAGGTATAACCTCCACCAGATACATGACACTTGGGAGGTATAACTGTGGCGAAACCAACCTCGCCACGTGTCCTTGGAGGGGGCTGCTTGCCCGCCTCTTGCCTTTAGACTATGGCCCCTGTTCTTTTTCCCTGCAGAAAGGCTGGTTTGTGCCTTTCTGTGGACTGTTAAAGCCATGCTACCCCAGATAGCTATGCCATGGAGCCCAGCAGTATACTGAAAGACTGTATGAAAGACTTTGGCTCCATGGCGATTGAACTGTATGTATGTGATCTGGGCGCCATCCGGTAATAATGTGCGCTCAGATCTAAGCTATCTGGGGATAGGTAGAATGTCTGTATTTTATGTAATAAATGTAACCTTGTATATTTTATTGTATTTTTATGTCTTTTATGTATGTGACAGTACAGGGAGTTCCTGTTTTAACCCTCAAAGTGAAGTGTCGTCTCATTATTGGGGGAAGGATTTATTGTATGCTGTTCCAGTTTGACTGCTAGGAGAGTAAACCTATTCGTTTGGTTCCTATTCAACTGTCTACAGCATTCATATGCTTGAGAGGATTCATATGCTTCTCCGGTTCGGTGGTTGTGGTGTCTGCCAGAGTGCTTGGAGTCCTCAGGAAGCGCTAGGAGCATCCTTTAACGGAGGTACCCAGTCGGGGTGCCAGGTGATCCGTTACAATAACCTCCGCCAGATACATGACGCTTGGGAGGTATAACCTTCGCCAGATACATGACACTTGGGAGGTATAACCTCCGCCAGATACATGATGCTTGGGAGGTATTACCTCCGTCAGATACATGACACTGGGGGGTATAACCACCGCCAGATACATGACGCTTGGGAGGTAGGACCTCCACCAGATACATGACGCTTGGGAGGTATAACCTCCACCAGATACATGGCGCTTGGGAGGTATAACCTCGCCAGATACATGACACTTGGGAGGTATAACCTCCACCAGATACATGGCGCTTGGGAGGTATAACCTCACCAGATACATGATGTGTGACGAGAGCAATCTCCCCACGTTGCATTGGAGAAGCCTGGTTGCTCGCCTGCTGCCTTTGGACTATGGCCCCCATGTTAAAAGACATCTTTTTCACTGCAGAAAAGACTTATTTATGCTTTTCTGCTCGGTGTTCGGTAAATACTCGGATTTACTGAATGAACTCATATAACCCAGATATGTATGCCATGGAGCCTATTCATGTAATAAAAGACTTTGGCTCCATGGCAATTGAACTGTATGTGTTTGTGGTCTGAGCGCCATTCAGTATTAATGTGCGCTCAGACCTGAGCTATCTGGGCATATGTTGCATGTCTGTTTTTTATGTCATAAATGTAACCTCGTGTATTTTATTGTATTTTACTGTCTTTTTGCTGCCATGTGTTCAATGGAGTTTTGCCTCTGTCTTTGGAGATAATTGGATTACTTCTAATTATCTCCAGGATAGAAGACTCTGTGGAACTGGTTTTGGGCAGAAAAGCCATGCTTCCTGTGGTCACAAAAGACTACGATCTATCTTTTGAACCCCTGGACCAATTTGTATGATTTTGACGTATGTTTGTATTTGGAGTATGCTGATTCTGAAAATGCATGTGAATTTTATGTGAATGTGATGCATATTTTTCAAGTTATGAATAATGTGGAAAAATTGTATTTCTCTGCTTGTTCTAAATTACATTACCCATTGTGTAAGGTAATTTAATCACATGCAGAGGGGAGGAATTTGTGTGGGAGTGTCTGAGTGTATTGTATGTGTTTATTGGTTGTGTTCCAAAACCCTGTGGGTGGTACTAATGTGTAAGAATGTGTATATAAGCACAATAAACCCACAGCTCTGTCTGTTCACTGCTTGACCCTCAACACGGAGCTTTTGTCTCGTTCTTGGGGGTGTGGCAAACATAGCCACTTGGACCATATAAAGAGACTGTGCCTTTAAGGGTTGCCTGTATGGTTGTGGGAAATGTGCTTAACTATGTAGAATGGATGCTGGTTATAATTAACGTGTATGTGCTGTATTGGCAATCTGCCGAATGCAGATAGCTGTATGTACTGTATTTTTCTTTCGTTTCACGAACGGCATTTTTGCGGGCCGTTCGTGAACCGAAAATACCCCCATGTAGTAGCCCACACACTTAGAGGCGTGTGGCACTTGTTAACCGATTGCAACAATGGGAGGGACTCACCATAATTATCACAGTAACCAATCCCATAAATGTTAACTCCCACACATCTCCTCCCCTTAGATTAACAGTTAACATAATTATACAGTGCACACTTTTCCCCAATTCTTGGATTTACCCCAACTATGTGGGGTACACCTTTAAATATGGTACCCCCTGGTAGCCCTGATCTGGGTGAAGAACATATCCAAAAATCACCCAGATCAGACTAGGGGTTTGGGAGTTATGAGAAGGTAAAGTTTTGACCGACCGCATGGGTAAAGTAGCCGAAAATAGTTCCATGAGATCTGGCCCTGCGGTTGGTCTCCGTTCGTGCCTCAAAAGTCCCGAAAAGCGAAACCATCCACAGTGAAGTTGGTAACCGGATGAATCCCCTAGTTCGTGGGATTCATCCAACCGAACGACAGGCCATTCGTGCATTTCCCTTAGTTATTTCTGAAGCCCTGGAAGTCTTAGCGGTGTTCGGTTAGTCGAGTATCCGTTTTGAGTTCCAGACACTCGACGACGAAACACCGCTGTTCGCGGCCACCCATGAAATATAGCAGAGTGTTCGTATGGTCATGGGAATGTAACAAGCGATCAGGGAGGTAAATCGCATCCATTGTTCTCACCAGGGTGGTCCGGTGATTCGTACTTTGTTCGTATGGTGAATATAGTAGTTCACCTGCAAGCTGATATATCCTTCTACAGAACAAAGTGTGGCCACATATAGTTGTATGCAATTCTGTATAATCCGGGCACAGGGAAAACTCTGCAGTGCCAACAATAAAAGGAAATAAATGGGACAGCCAAAGGGGTTTCGCTACACTAAGGTATAACCTCCACCAGATCCATGACACTTGGGAGGTATAACCTCCGCCAGATACATGACGCTTGGGGGGTATAACCTCACCAGATACATGACACTTGGGAGGTATTACCTCACCAGATACATGACACTTGGGAGCTATAATCTCCACCAGATACATGACACTTGGGAGGTATAACCTCCGCCAGATACATGACGTTTGGGAGGTATAGCCTCCGCCAGATACATGACGTTTGGGAGGTATAACCTCCACCAGATACATGACGTTTGGGAGGTATAACCTCCACCAGATACATGAGGCTTGGGAGGTATAACCTCCACCAGATACATGACACTTGGGAAGTATAACCTCCACCAGATACATGACACTTGGGGGGGTTTAACCTCCACCAGATACATGACACTTGGGGGGTATAACCTTCGCCAGATACATGACACTTGGGGGGTATAACCTCCACCAGATACATGATGCTTGGGGGTATAACCTCCGCCAGATACATGAAGCTTGAGAGGTATAACCTCCACCAGATACATGATGCTTGGGAGGTATAACTGGTTTAGATAAGATTCTGTAATAAGGACCAACATAATTGTAAGCACAGGGCCCAATGGGATCTTAATCTGGCCCTGGTGAGAGTGACAGAGAGAGATGGTGAGAGCGACAGAGAGAGACTGTGAGAGTGACAGAAAGAGATGGTGAGAGTGACAGAGAGAGAGAGATGGTGAGAGTGACAGAGAGAGATAGTGGGAGTGACAGAGAGAGACTGTGAGAGTGACAGTGACAGAGACAGATGGTTAGAGTGACAGAGACAGATGGTTAGAGCGACAGAGAGAGATGCTGAGAGCGACAGAGCGAGACGGTGAGAGTGACAGAGAGAGATGGTGAGAGTGACAGACAGAGACAGTGAGAGTGACAGACAGAGACGGTGAGAGCTACAGAGAGAGATACTGAGAGTGACAAAGAGAGATGGTTAGAGCGACACAGAGAGAGACGGTGAGAGTGACAGAGAGACGGTGAGAGCGACAGAGAGAGACAGAGAGAGATGGTGAGAGCGACAGAGAGAGATGGTGAGAGTGACAGAGAATCGGTGAGAGCGACAGAGAGAGATGGTGAGAGTGACAGAGAGAGACGGTGAGAGTGATAGACAGAGACAGTGACAGAGAGAGATGGTGAGAGTGACAGACAGAGACGGTGAGAGCTACAGAGAGAGATACTGAGAGTGACAGAGAGAGATGGCTAGAGCGACAGAGAGAGAGACGGTGAGAGTGACAAAGAGATGGTGAGAGCGACAGAGAGAGATGGTGAGAGTGACAGAGAATCAGTGAGAGCAGCAGAGAGAGACAGTGAGAGTGACAGAGAGAGACGGTGAGAGCGACAGAGAGAGATGGTGAGAGCGACAGAGAGAGAATGTGGGAGCGACAGAGAGAGATGCTGAGAGTGACAGAGAGTGATGGTGAGAGCGACAGAGAGAGACTGTGGAAGCGACAGAGAGAGATGCTGAGAGTGACAGAGAGAGACGGTGAGAGCAACAGAGACAGATGCTGAGAGTGACAGACAGAGATGATGAGTGTGACAGAGAGAGATGGTGAGAGTGTAACGAGAATATACCCCTACACGCAGGATCCAGCTAAACAGAAGCCAATACAGAGGAGAGATACGTCTACCGGACCTTAGAATGGCCGGACTCGACGTATATGAGAGGAGACAGAGCCAGGAACAAACCGAGGTCAAGGGCACAGAGAGACAGCGTAAACTAGGACAAGCCGGGTCTGGTACACGGAAAACAGCAAGCCGGCAAACAGTACAGATAAGGATAAAGCGAAAACGAAGTCAGAATACGAAGCCAAAGTCAATACGAGAAAACACAACTGAACACCACAAGCGCTAAAGGGAACTGAAACAGAAACCACGATAGGGCAACGAGCTAAGGGAAAAAGGTAAGTTTAAATAGCTTTTAAACGAAAGTGATTGGCTCCTGTCACTTCCACACCCCCAAAAGGTAATTGTATAGGGAGTGTGGTATGACAGGAGCCAATGGGAGCCTTTTGGCAATTAGGCTCCCACTGTCTCTTTAAGAGCGCGCCCGAGACTCGCGGCGCGCTCTTAGTTTCAGGCGGGACACGTGACCGCTTCACGCGGTCACTGCCCGCCTTCCATCTAAAGCAGTCGGATGAGCCGCGCGCGGCTCGTGCAGCCGCAGGACCGCGCGCGGCTTGAAGAGAGGACCGCGACCGGCCCCCGGTTAAGGTAAGTAACGCTACAGTACCCCCCCCTGAGGACACGCCCTCCGGGCGGGTAGGACCAGGCCTGGCAGGAAAACGAGAATGGAAAGAGCGCACAAGACGGGGAGCATGAACAGCATCAGCCGAAATCCAACTGTGCTCCTCAGGCCCATAACCCTTCCAATGTACCAAGTACTGAAGTCGACCCCTAAGGAAACGAGAGTCAAGAACAGCAGACACTTCAAACTCCTCATGACCCTCCACCGAGATAGGAGGGGGAGGAGGAGTATGCCGGGTATAGCGGTTGCGTACGAAAGGTTTCAACAATGAGGTGTGAAAAACATTAGGAATACGTAGATTCTTAGGCAGGCCTAAGGCATAAGAAACAGGATTAACCTTATGTATAATACGATAAGGTCCAATGAAGCGGGAGCCAATTTCATAGAAGGCACCCGGAGACGAATATTCCGCGTGGAAAGCAAAACCCTGTCCCCCACAACATAGGACGGAGCTGCTCTGCGATGCTTGTCAGCCTGAGCCTTCTGGCGAGTAGCAGAGTCCACCAAAGAACGCTGAACCTGCCCCCAAGTATTACGCAAACCAGCCAAATGCTCATCCAGAACTGGCATGCCCTGTGAGGAGAATGCAGCCGGAAGAACAACGGGATGCTGGCCATAGACAACGTAAAAAGGGCTCTTGCCGGAAGAATCATGAGTGGCGTTATTCCGAGCAAATAAAGCCCAAGGAAGCAGGTCAGACCAATTGTCCTGATGGTGAGACACAAAACAACGGAGGTATTGCTCCAGAGACTGGTTGGCACGTTCAGCAGCCCCATTAGACTGGGGATGATAAGCGGAAGAAAATGAGAGAGAAATACCCATTTCTGGACAAAAGGCCCTCCAGAACCTGGAAATAAATTGGCTACCCCTATCGGATACAATAGATACGGGAATCCCATGTAATCGAAATACTTCTCTAGCGAAGATATGAGCCAGTTCCTTGGATGTGGGCAACTTGTGAAGAGACACGAAGTGAGCCATTTTGGAGAACCGATCCACTATCATCAGGATTACTGTGTTACCATTTGAAGGGGTAATTCAACAATAAAATCCATGGACAGGTTAGACCAAGGTCTCTCGGGAACGGGTAACGGATGCAACAGCCCACAAGGAACTCTACGGGAGGATTTCATACAGGCACAAGTAGTACAAGCACTTATATAGTCAGTCACATCCTTTCGTAAGGAATCCCACCAAAAATACCGAGAAACAGCTGACACCGTTTTGGAAATACCAGGATGTCCAGCGGTCTTAGTATCATGATATAATGACATAATATCCCGTCTCTCAGGAACATCAACGAACAGTTTATCATTAGGCCTCTCGCTAGGTGCCATGCTTTGTTTCGCTTGTATGGCCTGCAAGAGGGACGAGGAAATAGACAAAATCAATCTCCTGTTTGTCAGTAGTTTCGAACTGTCTGGACAGAGCGTCTGCTTTAGTGTTGCGATCACCTGGCCTATAGGTGATAATAAAATTGAAACGGGACAAAAATAGTGACCACCTAGCCTGCCTGGAAGACAATCTTTTGGCTTCGCTAAGGTAGGATAGGTTCTTGTGATCCGTAAAAATGAGTATAGGATCCTTAGTTCCTTCTAACAAATGTCTCCACTCTTTAAGTGCTAAAATAATAGCAAGGAGTTCGCGATTACCCACATCATAATTTTTCTCTGCTTTGGACATTTGTTTAGAAAAGAAGCCGCATGGATGCAATGGCTTCTCAGGCGACTCTCTTTGGGATAAGACAGCACCTACCCCAATATCCGAAGCATCAACTTCAAGAATATAGGGCAGTGAGGGGACAGGATGCTGCAAAATAGGTGCAGAGGCGAACGTAGTTTTAAGAAATTCAAAAGCCTGAAGTGCCTCGGTAGACCAAACACGAGTATTACCATCCTTTTTAGTCATACGGGTAATAGGTGCTACAATGGACGAGAAACCTTTGATAAAACGTCTATAATAATCGGAGAACCCAAGAAAACGCTGAATAGCTTTCAAACCTTGCGGTAGAGGCCATTCTATTACAGCAGCAAGCTTCTGGGGATCCATACGAAAACCTTTAGCGGAAATCAAATACCCCAAGAACTGGACTTCGGTTTGGTCAAACAGACATTTTCCTAGCTTGCAATAAAGACCATTAGCAAGAAGGGTCTTCAAAACTGTCGTAACATGTCTGTGATGAGTGTGTATATCTGTAGAATATATTAAAATGTCGTCCAAGTATACGATAACAAATGTGTGAATAAAATCTCTCAAGACATCATTAATAAATTCTTGGAATACTGCTGGAGCATTGCAAAGCCCAAATGGCATAACAGTATATTCGTAATGACCGGATCTAGTGTTGAATGCAGTCTTCCATTCGTGATTTTCCTTTATACGTATCAAATTGTATGCACTCCTAAGGTCCAATTTAGTGAACACAGTGGCATGTTTCAGCCTGTCAAATAATTCTGTAATCAAAGGTATAGGGTATGCATTTTTGATAGTGATTTTGTTTAGACCTCTATAATCTATACACGGTCTTAAATCACCTTCTTTCTTCGATACAAAGAAGAACCCTGCTCCAGCCGGAGAAGAGGATCTCCTAATAAACCCCTTTTCTAGTGATTCCTTAATATACTCCTCCATGACACAGTTTTCTTGAACCGATAAGGGGTACACCCTGCCCTTTGGAGGTATAGTGCCAGGCAACAAGTCAATAGCACAATCATAGGGTCTGTGAGGCGGTAATTTCTCAGCCTCCCTTTTATCGAAAACAGTCTTTAGAGATAAATACTGAGGGGGTATAGCCGTAGACAAAGGAGGACTGGTAGGTACCTTAATAGAATTCAAAGGTGTGACTTCAATCGTACAAGACTCGTGGCAGGCCTTACTCCATGATTTTATTTGCCCTGTCTCCCAGTCAAAAATGGGATTGTGAGCACGTAACCATGGATACCCTAATACTAACTGTGAAGAGGGAGAGGTGATGACCTGGAATCGAATGGTTTCATAGTGTAAAACCCCTGTGTACATGTGTAATGGTACAGTCTCATGAGTAACAACTGGAGAACTTAATGGCCTACCATCTATGGCCTCAACGGCCAAGGGTATCTCCTTCTCTCTGATGGGAATGTTGTTTCTCTTTATAAAGCCAGAGTCTATAAAATTTTCAGCTGCCCCAGAGCCAACCAGAGCATATATGTTGTCAACTATACAAATCTCTCCCATATATAAAGAAACCGGGAGAAGCAAGCGGTTAGGAGGCAATTTAGGAGACTTAGATATCACACCCAAGGCCAGTCCCCTATAAGGTCTTAGGTGCTAGAGTTTTCCGGGAGTAAAGGACATTCCTTTACCATATGGTCTCTCCTACCACAGTATAGGCAGAGTCCCTCCCTTCTCCTATGTAATTTCTCAGTATCAGAGAGTTTGGCAACCCCTAATTGCATAGGTTCCTCCTCAGATACTTTAACACTCTCTGGTATATTAACTCTGGGGTTAATGGGTGTAACAAAACGTCTATTCCTGTTCTTGGTATAGAGCCTGTCACGAATTCTATTATCTATATCAATGAGGTAATTAATAAGGTCCTCTAAGGCAATAGGAAGCTCCTTAGCTGCTACCTCATCCAATATCGTATCTGACAAACCTTCCATGAAGGCAGTAGTTAACCCATTGTTGGTCCAATCTACCTGCGAAGCAAGAGTGCGAAACTGAATAGCATAATCAGCCACAGACCTAGAACACTGTTTAATTCTCATTAATGCTCTCGCGGCATTCTTTGACCTTTTCATTGTGTCAAAAGTTCTACGAAAAGCCGTAAGAAAACTGTTGAAATCATGTACTATAGGTCCATTAGCTTCCCAAATAGGATTTGCCCACTCAAGTGCCTTATCGGTAAGTTGGTGCATAAAGAACCCAACCTTAGACCTCTCTGTGGGAAATGAACGTGGATACATTTCGAAGTGAAATTCAATTTGATGAATAAACCCTCTGCAAGTCTTAGAGTCCCCTCCATACCTAGGAGGAGGTGTTAAATGGGCCGAAGTATTAGGCAAAGTAGATACTTCAGGGAGAAGGGGCGTAGGAGGGTTAGGTGTGGTTGCTGGAACGGTTCTAGCTAGGAGCGCCTGGAGAGCCTGGGCTAT